ATGTAACAATAAATACCCACCAGATTAGAAATGTAAATCTGTCCTTTGAACCTGAAATATTGAGTGGATTATCTGTATTTCTTCTTGAAAAGGAAGACTTCATGACTGTGGATGGGTTATTTAATAAATAGTCATAGGAGTATGTGAATCACTTGCTGGGCAGTGCTCTGCTTATTGGAATCATATCTTAACTAAATTCAGATGTGGAAAAACAGCATAAGAATTTAAGTTCCTGTGACAATTTGGTGTTTTCACTTACAATTTTCATGAAGTATTTTTTGTAACTTATTCATTGCTCTAAACTAACAATGATACATGCATCTTACATTTATGAAGAAATGTTGAAAATACTAAGTCACTCTGAAAATAATGCCTTTTTCCATATGTATGTATTGGCAAATGTTACTGTCTCCATTTCTCTGGAATGTATTGTGGTTAATCCACAATAATAGTTTAGATGTGTCACAGTATAAGAATACAACGGAATGAACCTTCCCAAAGTTTCAGTATCTACACCCTCTGCTCAACTCTAGATGTTGTTATAAAGTTTGAAAATTCAGCATTTTGATGGTTTAAGATTTTCTGAAAGGACTTGACATTTAAGACAAGTGGGAAGTCTGCCCAAGGGTAGTAGCAGGATCCAGCCGGCCAGGTCAGGAAGCAGGAGCGTTGCTGAGCACATGGACAGAACGGCGAGGCAGAGCCAGGATCAGGAAGGTTTGTGTAGGGACGTGGTGCTTGCACAGTGTGCAGAGAGTGCTGCAAGGGCAGGCAGGTATGTGGGCATAAGTGGGCCGGCTGGGCTGGACAACAGACTTTTCTTTTTTTAGTCCTCTACTTTGCTAGGTACCACTGGAGATGATAGATTTTAATTAGTTAAGTTTAAGGCACTTCCTGCACTCAAGGAGCTGGAAGTCTAGGAGTCCCCAACCACTAACACAAATATAATGTAGGATAAAATAAGAGCTGTGATCAAGTTACAGAGAATTTTGTGAGATCTTGGCAAAGGAGTAATTTATTAGGAAGATGCTGGCATTCAAGCCTGACCTTGATTGGTAAGTAAGAATTCAATTGCTAGAAGATAGGCAGAAAAATATTGTAGGGTAAGGAATATAGTGTGAGCAAAGGCAAAAGATGTGAAAAGTCAGTAGTCTCGTGGAGCTGGTGTGTAGAGCATCTAAATGGATATTTTTGGAGGTGATTGTGGAGGATGTTGAATGCTACATTAAACAGTTTATTGTTGGGGGCGCCAGGAGCATTTGCTTTTGAGAAGCAGAATAACTTTATCTGATAGAACACTGGCTGTACCTTAATACATGCAGTTCTCTTGGCTTTCAAAATAAAAGTTAAGAAGTATTCCATTGCTGCACGTTGCCTCTGACATGTTGCTCTGTGGTTTAAGCAAATACAGGTGAATATGCCCTCACACGTTAATTGGTCTGTCTTTCTGAAACCTTGTCAGAGCAGTTATAATTCTGACAAATGGTAATTCTTGTCATTCTTGAGCAGAATAGATGCTAAAATTAAATGATAATTGGAATAATTTCTCTTGTCACTGGCAGTATTTTCACATGTAGTATATTAGCCATATGTATAGTAGGAAAATGACCAGATTGGGTAAAACAAAATACCTGAGTTCTTCTGTTTCTAGTGGTTGGTTCCCTTGATTAACTAGCTGTATGCCTTTGGACAAATGCCCAAGCTTCAAGCTCCTCATCTACAAAATAAATACCTATTCTTTTACCTGATAGATCGATGGAGTAAATTGCATTATAAAATTAATGTGAAATGGCTTTGCAAATTGTTTATCACTACCCCAATGTGGGACAATAATTTTTCCCCTTCTAGCAGTTTAAGATGCAGGCAATGACCGTGTGAATAAGAGTCCTGCTGTCGTCTGTTAGAGTTGACGAAGCACTTGAGAAGCCTTCCCATTCATGAGTTTACAAATTAAAAGATATTGTCACATGGTTTAAAAAAAAAAAAAATGACCTCAAGAAATAAGAATATTTTAGTCTGAAGTACATTTCTTATAGGTATTATGTTTTAGAGTGTTACTAAACTAATTTTTATGGAATACATATTAAAAGTTAGTATTTTAGAATATACAAGAATTGGTTTGGAGTCTATGAGACTTACATGTGTAAATAGCCACCCTGACTTTCTTTTCTCAAGATAATTTAATAAAAGTAACCAGCTTAAAGTCTTAAGCAAATGTGTTTCTCAGAGAAAAGTAAAAATTCTTTACATTCTTACCAGAATAAACTTAAGTCTTTATTTCTTAAGACTTAAGACTTAATCTTAAGCCTTTATTTCTTTT